ATATTTTCCATTTGTAAATGAAATACCATTTTCTACTTGAAGTACCAAAGTTTATTGTTGGAATCCTCAAACAGACTGCAACACACGGCCTTGAGTGCCGCATCATCAATCGGTGCCGATTCTTGAGAGTTTAATTTACGACCTCGCTATATCGTGGCCCCAACTATAAATCAAATTTTCACAACAAGCTCAGATGAAAAAGTTGTAAACCCACAAATTGCAATTTCTTCCAAATTTTTTGCACACGTCATCTAGTAAACTAATCCTAACTTCGAAAAACCTTTTGTAATAAATTAGCAAAAAAGGCGTGAAAAAACGGCCGTCACGCTAGAAGACCCCCTTAAGGCGTAATGTGTGGAGTAGCAAGTGGCTGAATATTTATACGATTAGAATTCGTCGCTGTGCCTGTAATAAGCACTACGTAAAATTTGTCGATAGAAATTTTCTCTTTCACGTTTTCTTTGATTTCGTAAAAGTGCGTGTTTCTACAAAACTCGTAAATATCGCGGCGCTTTGAGTCAACTTTCCAACAAAACAGCCGGCGCTTAAAAACGTTAACACGTTGACTGTCGGAGCGATTGAACAGCGACTGTCTTCTCAAAAGCTTCCATTCAGTTACTCTACGATCCTCCCAATTTTTTCGCTAAACAATAAAATTTCACGTTGCGTTACTCTCTTCCTGACGTGCCGCGAAACCGTAAAAGCTTGTAAAAAAATTGCGGTGTAAAGTAGAATGTAGCGTGATACGCCGGCGTATCTTACAACACAGGTGGAAAAGACGGTGTTCACGTTGGCAGCCGTCGCGTTAAAAATGCCCACAAAACGGAGGAACCGTATTTAGAGGACGAGATATAAAATTCGTAGAGTGTAAATAAGCGAGATAATCGGGTGCACACAGTAGCAGGCGATTCAAATGTTTCCCCACGATACGAACAGTTCATCAACGTCGAATCTGGACGTTGAATCGCCGCTGCACGCCGGCGATTTTGCAACGGACCGTTTTGCATGGTCACTAAACCGTTGAGAATTAATCACCGAACGTTTGCCGAGCAGACAGAACGCGGCTGACGTACGTGTCTGCGGTGGCGGTCGGCGTCGGCACAGTAGTCGTCTTCCTCTGGTGGTGGTGGACCAAGAGGCAGAAGGAACAGCCGCCGTCGCAATGGCGAAAGGTGGGCGAGCTGAGCGATCTGGTCGTCTATCCGGTGAAATCTCTGGGTCCTGTCAGAATGAACTCGATGGAGTGCACGAAACTGGGACTGAAGTCTGGATGGCTGCGGGACAGGACGCTGATGGTGATCGACTTGAACGGACACTTCGTTACGGCGAGACAGTTGCCGAAAATGGTTCAGGTGAGTGGATTGTTTGGAAGGAGAGTTGCGTGGACGGAGAATTATTTGGTGGAAGTGTGAGAGAAGAGTGTCTTTGGGACTGAACAGGGAAGGTTTTGGAGAGATTTTGAGGAAATTTTGGTGTATGGTAGTATTGAGAAAAATATTCGACGAGTATTTATTTTGTATCGGCACTTGTTCAGAGATAAGGACTGAAAATCGCTCTCAAAGATTGAAGAGTGAAGGAAGAGTGTTTTTGGGACGAAAAGGGAAGATTTTGAGGAAACTTTGGTGTATGGTAATTCTGAGAAAAATATTCGACGAGTATTTTTTTGCAGCGACAATCGTTGAGAGTGAAGGGTTGAAAATCTCTCTCAAGGATTGAAATGCGAGTGTTCAGCGCGTACATAGTATTTATCGGTTTTATTTTAAACTCTACTCAATACGCTTCAAGCGGTAAATTAATGGAAGCTTGAATAGTTGGGGGTTGGATGCGAGATATAATTGCAGTTACCCCTTCACTCAATTTAATGTTATCATTATTGTGGCTGCAGCGCGGTATTACAAATTTTTACCGAGAAACGTGGTTTTTGTTGAAAGTGTACTGGTGTATAATACTTGTGTGTTTTTGTTTAGCTTAATTTATGTCTTATATACAATTTTTTGGCGGGGGTGAGGAACGCGGATTGGTTCTTGTGGTCTTCTGGAAATAGACCCGGAAGGGGTTGCTATCTTTCCATTGGATCCCCATTTGCTAGAGTCACCAGCAAGGTGACCGCCTACGATTGATCGTGGATCGCCAGGTACCGATGGGAACCTCGGGTGACGTCCGGGAATTTCCGCGTCCCTCGACCGTAACAGGTAATAACTTTATGAAGCGCCTTGACCTTACCAAGGCATGCAAAATTACAATAAAAAATAGAAACGGCATTAAGCCGAAATTAAAGAAGTATATTGCTTAAGTTTAAAACATCGTAGAAAGTAACCGATGGCCGGTGGCTTCATAAACTTATTGTGTTACGGGTTCTTGGTCTTCTTCGCGCCTAGGGTCGCATCATAAACGTTGTTACAGTGTAACAGCGAGAGAAGAGTGTTTTTGGAACTAAAAAGGGAAGATCTTGGAGAGATTTTGAGCACCGATTTGAGGAAACTTTGGTGTATGGTAATTCTGAGAAAAATATTCGACGAGTATTTTTTTGTATCGGCACTTGTTCAGAGTTAAGGACTGAAAATCGCTCTCAAAGATTGAAGAGTGAAGGAAGAGTGTTTTGGGACGAAAAGGGAAGATTTTGAGGAAACTTTGGTGTATGGTAATTCTGAGAAAAATATTCGACGAGTATTTTTTTGTATCGACAATCATCCACAGTGAAGGGGTGAAAATCGTATTCGAAGATCAGAGATAGAGGAATAGAGCAAAATTGAAAATTTCTGTATTGTTCTTATTGTAATCTCCCATTTTTTAGGGCGATTTTCATCCCTTCGATACACAGAATTGCACTTAAAAAGAAATACGTGTTAAATATTTCTTTGAGTTCTACCATATACCAAAGTGTCGTCAATATCGGCGATTGTCACTTCGGGACGTTCCCTCGTTACTATAATACCGTGAGAACGAATGGATTTGGATGGATGTGGCTGAGCGTCTCGGAGGAATGTCTGCGTAAAACGAGAACGACATAATAATAGAGACAAGAAGAACGTGCGAGTACAAGAATAAAAGAGTCAGCAGGTGTGTTAGAACAGCGTAAAAAACAGATTAAAGACAAAGAGTCACAGCATACTTAATGAGAGAGACAACGAGGCTTCCAGAGACAAGAGCACATTCCTGCATAGAATTATATTAAGTTCACCTATACCATTGTATTATTTCTAAACTATATTTCCATTTCAAATCACCAAACCTTGCAATACTGAAAATTATGCCATTTGACTCGAGAAAGATAACGGGATTAATTAATCAAAAGTGAATTGGTAGATTTCTAGCATGAAAAGGTTGAGTGCAAAGTTGAAGGCTTGTTCCGAGATAAAGTGTTATGTTAGACATCTCAGAGATAAGGTTCACATGTATCCAAGAGGCTCGTTGAAGAAATAATTTTCGTCTGCTTTTTACACGATGCTGGCTGGATAATGAGAAGAATAATTATTTCTTCAAAGCACCTCGATTACATCGTCTAAGATAAGATTGCGATCGGGTAGTTGGTAAATTATCTAATCTAATCGGAGTATCTCCGACACAAGTGAGAAAGGGAGACGTTTCGCTGTTGCAACGAGGGAAGAAAAACAAGATTCTCGAGGAGGAATTTATCGCGAAAGCTGGCGGGAAGAAGATTGGAAGAAGCTGATCGGTGCGCGATAATCGTGGCCATTTTACACCGTTTCCCGCGTCCTCTTCATGGATCGTTAAGTCACAGTCTTGGACGCCATCTTTGGATGTTTCCTCCTCGACTCAGGAAACGCGAAACTTTTATAATCGAAATTAACGAGCCGTTTCATCGTTGTAAAAAACTTGAGGAATTAACCGGCCAGGAATCGGACGCGGAGTAATTCGCGGTGAACGTTTTTTCTCCCTCGAGTCCGAGCAACGACTTTGTTTCGCTCTGATTGAACCTCGTTCGAGAGTTTCCAGATTTCGAAGATTTACATTCCGATATCTCTCGGATTTGCAAATTTCTATCGTTCTCCTGGTTGCAGGTAGTACGGTTCGAGGATTCTTCCGGGTGTAAACCGTGTCCGAACGGAAATTGGTTTTAAGTATACTGTTTGAGTACTTACGAAGTATTTTAGAACCAATTTCCTTTTGGACACGGTTTACACCTGGAAGCCTTAAACAGTTTACTGTTTAAGTGTTATACTCGCAAAGTATTTTGGAACCAATTTCGTTTTGGACACGCTTTACACTTGGAAGCCTCAAAGAGTTTACTGTTTGAGTACTTGCAAAGTATTTTGGACACGCTTTACACCTGGAAGCCTCAAAGAGTTTACTCTTTGAGTACTTGCAAAGTATTTTGGACACGCTTTACACCTGGAAGCCTTAAACAGTTTACCGTTTAAGTGTTATACTCGCAAAGTATTTTGGAACCAATTTCCTTTTGGACACGCTTTACATCTGGAAGCCTCAAACAATTTACTCTTTGAGTACTTGCAAAGTATTTTGGAACCAATTTCCTTTTGGACATGCTTTACACTTGGAAGCCTCAAAGAGTTTACTGTTTGAGTACTTGCAAAGTATTTTGGAACCAATTTCCTTTTGGACACGCTTTACACCTGGAAGCCTCAAAGAGTTTACTGTTTGAGTACTTGCAAAGTATTTTGGACACGCTTTACACCTGGAAGCCTTAAACAGTTTACCGTTTAAGTGTTATACTCGCAAAGTATTTTGGAACCAATTTCCTTTTGGACACGCTTTACACCTGGAAGCCTCAAAGAGTTTACTCTTTGAGTACTTGCAAAGTATTTTGGACACGCTTTACACTTGGAAGCCTTAAACAGTTTACCGTTTAAGTGTTATACTCGCAAAGTATTTTGGAACCAATTTCCTTTTGGACACGCTTTACACCTGAAAGCCTCAAACACTACTGTGCGGAGCTCAGGAGCTTGCCCGCAGGGCAGTACAGGGGCAAGAAGGGCAATTCACTCGCACCGTCTAAATCTACATGTCGTGCAATTTTAAATGATCCGATTCGTCGATGTTATTGTGTCGGCCAATAATGACAATACGTGTGCCCTATTTTTACGATTATGTCAGAGAAGGTGGGCTTCTGGGAATGTGACCTAGTCAGTAGGGATGGGATGGAGTACCTCACAAGTAGATTTGTATCCTCTATTAGTATTTCGGAAAATAAAAACAGTACTTGCAAGTAATTTTCCTGAATCTAAACGAGATAGATTGGAATTTTTTATGAGTACTTGTAGAAATGAAAAAGGTACTTGCAAGTAGACTCGAACACTGGTCTAATATGAGTACCATTACTTAAATCTGCTATAGAATTCTTATTTTCAAGATTCGATTCTTTCTAACATCGAGCTACTTATAAGTACCTTTTCGAATCCTGCAGGTACTCGTTCTAAATTCGAAAGCAACTTGTATAAAATGATTGCATTGCAAGTATACTCACTGAAACTTCATTCCTTCTGAGTAGTAATCGAAACCCACGAGATGAAACTTGGTTATTGAAATTGACAAATCAGATCTGCATTCATTCCAGAGGCAAACTCCTGAGCTCTAGACCAGTGTTCTTCAACCTTTTAACACCCGCGGCCCGGCGAAAATCGGAGAAATATTTCGTGGACCGGCGTCAGCCAGAAATAAAAACCAATGTAGATAGAATTTTATTTATTAAATCTAATGTTCTAAAATTACAATTTTTGGTTAGTCGACATCTGCTGCTGCTTCTTTGTAAGCAAATTTGATATACGTGGTTGCAGCGTTGTTTCATTTGATTTCTCTGTTTGGTTTTTATTACTGATTCATTTGCTATTTAGCGAATTCTTGCGGACCAACGGTTGAAGACCACTACTGTCTATAATACATCAAACCAGGTCGTGAAAGCCTGAAAACTCTCATTTTCCCGCTTATCAACGAGACGAATTAACGGAGTTTCTTTATTAAAGGTGTCACCTAGTATCTCTGGTACAGTGCTCACGCTATCCGCTCCTGGAATGATGTCAGTAGCCATCGATCTCTCGAGAATCAAAGGAAAAGGATTCCGTGTGGCGGTTTGGGGCCAAGCTGTAGCCGCCTGTGACTGTGGCGAAGAGCCAGCTAGATGGCTGTCACGTTTCCTTCTTCAAGAAGACACTGGATTTAGATTGGTTTACTACCCCTTGGATTATCCGTCGCGAGAGATCAGGTCGAAGAACAGACTATTCTTCACGACTGCTGATGATACTGTAAGCTCACTGTTTAATCTAAATATAAAAACGAAAATTTAAACGATTAATACATTGTTCGTTTGTTGAACAGGGCGCGTATCCAGACGCTACCAGTTATTGTCTGATAAACGAAGGCTCGGTAGTCGATCTGAACACTCGATTGGAAGATGCAGTTGCTCCGGAACAGTTTCGACCGAATTTCGTGATAAAAGGCGCTGTCGCGTACGATGAAGATAAATGGGGATGGGTGAAGATCGGAGATGTCCTCTTCAAGACCGTGATGCCGTGCACGAGATGTATCTTCACCACGATTGATCCTGAAACTGGGACGAAGAACCCCAAGGCTGAGCCTTTGAAAACGCTGAAAAGGTTGCCTTGAAGTGCACTTCTTCCATTGGCACGATTTGATAAATACGTTTGGCGAATAACACTTTGCAATATTTTTTAAATTTTACACTGTAACTATGCTTTACTTGGCGTTCGATGATTGCATTATTGTGGAATCGGGTACTCCATATCTAAGCATACAGGAGCTAGAACGAGGAAAAGTAGAGAGAGCGCATTGGCGCAGAGTCCCATTCGAATGAAATTGGCAAATATGTACCACTTTGCAACATTCCTAAATTTTACACTGTAACTGTGCTTTACTTGGTGTTCAATAATTGTAATATTGTGGGATTGAGGCCTGTGGAATGGAGGAAAAATAGAGCTTACAATTTACTGATATTTCCACAATTTAATAGAAATAATTTACCAACCAGAGCTCGCGGGTTTTTTGAATTTCAATTGGATCTCTCCAATTTTTCCTCGCCTTCTACATTACTCCATCTTCAATCCAAGGTTAATTAACGCAATAATTTTGTTACAGTTACAGACAAATAACGGATCCAGATATCCGCCCCTTAACCGGCGAGAGTCCAGTCTTAGGAATTCATCTTGGTCTAAGGAGTCCGAATGGTACCGTGCGATTAGGTGACCCAGTCTACGTCGGTGTACCTGACGTGCAACCACTCCTCTCGCCTCCCTAGCTACACCGATGGGCTTCTTGCGAGGACGAAATCGGCGTCACCGAGGAGCCCATATTTTTCCCAAAGCCAGATTTAAAGAAGCTGAAAGAGGGCCTAAAGGAAACAGTTGCATGTGAAGGACAATATTTTATGGAACAATTCAACGCTCCCTCTGTTAAGAGGTGATTTAAATGTACGCGATAGTCGCGTGATATCGATAGTTCAAACCTATTTGCCAAGTGTATATCGCTTTCGAAGAAGAAAATGCATTTATCGCAAAAGAGTAAACTTAGCGAAGCTATTTTTGCTAAATGTTGATCGTGGGATCAACGTTACTACCGGAGACAATATGATGGCGTTCGAGTAACGCTGATTTTGCTATTCCTACAGTACTTGTATCGAGTATATATATATATTATATTATCGTAAGAAATAAACGAATCGCAGGGAAACATCTTTTTTTTTCTTTTCTCGTTCTTCTTAACCTGTTAACTGTGTCCACCTTTCCACCTTTCTTAGAGAGATTGAATCTCTCTAGTTTATAATTAAAAATGAGCAAGAATTATAATCATTTACTTCCTCTTCGTTCTTGCAAATGCGAATACGATGTATTTTACATTTAATACAGGCGTAAATAGATTACCGTGTTCTAAATCAACAACGAGTTAACTCGCGTTGCACAGTTAACAGGTGAAATTCTCAGGTTAGAAAGAACACGCGTTTATGACAATATAATATTTATTTATTTACACTACAAAACAACAGGGACGATTTACAATAAGATAGATAATGCGTTCAATTCGAATAGATCAACACACTTCCAAGGTTATTTCATCGACGATCTTCATTCTCTTATCGTGTCCACTCTCGAGAAGAGATATAAGAGAATGATATCGTTCCATCTCGAGTGCGGCGAATATGTACGAGTACACGCAATATCTACGCGATATAATCTCAAACTCTGTTCACTTTTGTACAATGGTTATAGGATCTACTTGATTCGCTCTTCTGGTCACCGCGAATAGTGCCTCGAAGAAATAATCTGACAAGGAAACATGACCGCTGAACGAGAGGGAAAAAAAGCCTATTGTATGTGTGTGTGGATCGATCGAGAAGAGAGAAACACGATCAATGCTTCGTACTGTTGCATACCGGGAAAACAGCTATGTACAAGTTCACTCGAGATTCTGCTCGACCTTACGCTATCTCTAAATCAGCAAGGTACGACAACAAAAGCAAACAAAAAATCATTCACAATTGAAAGAATAAATCCTGAAGAATGTTGTAATTTTAAAGAAATTTCCAGTTTCATCGGTGTGAATCTCGGCAGTGGGAACTTTCTAATCGAAGAAACAAAATGGGCTAAGCTACGTAGAGAGAGAAAGAGAGTGCGAGTAAAAAGAAACAAAAGATTAGAGAGAAAAAAAATTACACGTTGGAGGACGAGAGATAGGAAACGAAGAAAGAGAGAATAGAAAGAGAAGCGAGGCAGGAGGATAGGCGGAGGAGAGACAGGTGATCGCCGCGCGATCTGATGTGACGAATGAACTCGGAGTCGCGAGGTTTACGCCTTTTATAATTGTTTCACGTGGACGATTACGCTAATCATCGACGTGACACGTCGGACCTCGGGGACAAGGGGGCAACGCGTGAGGCTGGCCGCGTTGCCAACGTCGTACCCGTGTTCCAGCTTGGAGAACGATCACGGCTCGGCTAAATGGCTCCCACGTGGCTCCCGAGAGTTTTCAGGACCATCGATACTTTTCTTGTACTTCCACATCCTATCGCTGTCGCGCGGCGTTGACCTCTAAATGATGGAAGTGATCAATCTCGCCTTGAAGTTCACGATGCGCTCGCTTGTCGCTGCCAGACGCTGCAAAAGGAAACGTTTATCCAATTAGACTTCACCGTTCACCAATGAAACGCTCGTCTTGCGAAAGAAGAGGCGAAGTGACACGCGTCGAGAGATTTATCTTAGGAATTCTGTGTGTAGGATTCCCAGAACTCACGAGTCGAAATACTTTTAAATTAGATTTAGCTCCTTTGCGCAAAATTTAACTTTTAAGTTTGATGTTATAAAATCACCATTGCTGTGTGTGAAAAATACTGTAAATAAGAAGAATAAGACGTTCTTCGCTCTTCTTGTCTCTAAAGAATAAGAAACGATCACAGAACGAAGAATCGAACTAATTGAAAAGCAACGATGCAGTATTCAATCAGTTACAATCAAGCATTTGACGAACATACTTTGCTATTCATGTTTGACACCAGAAGAATTACATTCAGACTAGTTTTATATTAGTACACTATTATGCAATACTATTTTGTTCTATAAATACATATGACTAAAAGTAAATTCAACGCAAAAACGTACTCTACATTTTTTGCAAAATATAACACATTCAAATGTTATGAAACGTTCTTCAAAAAACAATTGTTTTAGGATCAACGTGTAAGAAGAACTACGTGAAGGAATCTCTTCTTTAAGCTTCCATGCGATGGCTGAGGACTCAGGAGTCTCAGGATCACTAGCCAAATGAAGAAAAATTCCGTCCAATTTCACAGGACAAATAATTCAGCGGCAAGTTCGAAAAAACTCGTACAAACAGTGTCGGTGAAACGATAAAGGAAAGGAAATTTCTTTCTAATCCAAGCCTCACTTCCTGATCTTATCGTTCCACGTAGACGTTCTCTATGCGCTCGCTTGGAACATTCGATTTTGGGCGCGAAGAAAATTTCAACAACAACTCGAAGAATCCCCAAGTGAATCACGTCGGTTCTTTCTTCATTCGACATTCCTTCGTCCAGGCGACAATTTCACGACTGTTCCACGTAGAACAAACGTTCGCAACGCTTTCGAAGAGACACGTTACAGCCGCTTTCGACACTTCTTATCCACGCCGGTTTCACCGTGACGAACGAAAGAAACGACGATCGATCGACAAGTGGATCCAACGGAGCCTGCGAGTTTCCGATTCGCGGGTGAAGCAGACGAATTCCGCGCGATGTACGAACCGTGAACGCTTTCCAGCCGATGCCCGCTTCTTTTCAGCGAGCACGCTCCGCGAAGGTTGTGCATAATAGGTGCGATTAACTTTAATAACGCTCCACGCTATAATACTATCGTACACCTTGCGTCTGTTTTTTTTTTTTTGTTTTTGTTTCTCCTCCGTTCGTTCATAACGTTGTGCTTTCTCTGGTTTCTCGCCTGGAGAACGTTCCGTCGCCTCGACGTGGTGTAATAAAGACGTGGACGATCAATTACGCGCGACACGAGCAAAGAAAAACACGGAACGGAGTGGATTCGTTTTCACGCGAATTCTTCGCCTGTTCTTGTTTTTTTTTTTTTCGCACCGCTTTCTTTACACCGTTACTACAGTAACTGAACGAAAGTCGCTGGAAAATTTTGTTCATTTCGGTTCTGTTTTTCCCCGTGTGTTGCTCGAAATGGCGAGAACGATCAATTAGACGAGCATCTCGACGATTTTTACCGCGAAGAATAAGCGTTTAGTTAAAAATGGACCAGTTTTTGTTTGAAATTGTGTCGTGAGAGAATTGTCAGGCGTAGAGGATTGGAAAACGTGATTTGAAACACCTAACTAGCCTGTTCTCCGCGTTTTTCTTTTTCGTCGATCTGTTTCGCTTTCGATTGGAGTTGACAATACTAGAGAGGAATGCTTGGATCTTTGACGAGTGGCTGTAATCATCTAAACTAGAACGCTGGCACGTGATAATGTGTTATCAATTGTACGAACAGTTTACTGCTACTTTTAGAAAGCTTGCAAACACCGTCGATGGGTCTTTAATTCTGCTAATTGAAGCAGGTGTTCAGAAAGCTTTTCGAAAGATATTTAGAGACGCGATGAAACGAAAGATGTAATAATAAACTCGTTAATATTCAGAGGAATTATTGGACTTCATAATAGAAAGCAGAATGTTTCTGTTGGAACAAATATGACACGTATACGAGATATAGTACGAAAGACGATATAGTGCGGTCGTAAAGTTGGTCAGAAGTCGAAGTAACGATGATTCAGGTGTTCAGAAGATTAAGTTGACAGAAATATGAGCTGTTAAGGACCTTAAATCTCGGCCAGGGCCATACGAAGGGTATCGAGATTCCTTTCGTAATTTTGAATCTGAGGGTTCCTTGAAGACACGATATAGAGCGGTCGTACATTGGTCAGAAGCCAAAATAAAAGATTCGAGTGTCCAGAAAGTTAAGTTGACAGAAATATGAGCTGTTAAGGCTCTTAAATCTCGGCCAGGGCCGTACGAAGGGTATTGAGATTCCTTTTGTAAAATTAGTCAGAAGTCAGAGTAAAGAAGATTTAGGTCTCGAAGAAATTGAATTCACAGAAATATGAGCAGTTAAGGACCTAAAATCTCGGCCAGGGCTATACGAAGGGAATGGAGATTCCCTTTGCAAGGAATCTGAGCAAGGAATATAGCACAGTCGTAAAATTAATCATAAGTCAAAGGAAAGAAGATTCAGATGTCGAAAAAATTGAATTCACAAAAATATAAGCTGAAATCTCGGTCAGGACCGCGCAAAGAGTATCGAGGCCCCTTTTGTAAGGAATCTGGTGGTTTCTTAACGCTCATGCCTCGCATAATCCTGGAAAAAGTGCAATTTTATTTCATTATTTTCGCTTTATCCTATTCTATACCAAAAATCTAAGTCCCAACATCACAAACAAATAGAATACTTCTTTCTACAAACCTAGCAAATAAAAAACACTAAAATCGACCATTTTTAGCGCATCAACTCAAAAGGAATACGAGCGTCAAGGGGTTAAAGAGGACGATCTACTCGAAGCATCGCTCTAGGACGAAGGATCAACAGAAATCGCGATGAAATGGAGCTGTTGAACCGTGCTCCTGGCAATATCGCGTGCCAGGAGCCACGTAGCAGCTGCTTGCATAAGTCAGCCGGCAAATGGACGAGCTATTTCATAGAGAAAGTCGCTTACATTTTTGCTTTCTATCGATCCTGAGCGGTTGCGCAACAGCCTGGTTTCATATCTAGAACGACACCGAGGCACGCGTCACTTTTGACTGAATCCTCGTATGAAAAATTCCACCGTAATTCATTCAGAGATCTCTTCTCTCTTCGTTCGCCGAGAAAATTGCGAATGCTTCCAACCTTTCGCACTAGCGTCACAAATCTTTCCTTTTATTTTCGCAATTAACTTCTGTCGTTTGAACTGCGAAACGTTGCGATAGTAAGCATGTCTCGCAACGTGGACACTCGTGTTAAGAGCAGGCAAATCACTCCGAGGAAGCAAGTTGACGTTTCTAGGGTATTAGATAAGGATGAGAAGCAGTGATTAATTAGGTATTTTGTAAGCAAGCTGTCACGATGTTTCTATCACAGCCTATCTAACTTTCGACAACCTGTTTTCACATCGGAATGCCAATCCTAATCGTTCGCCGCGCTCGATATTTCTCCCCGGATCGAAGGGTCCTGATGCAATTACCGATCAGAATCGCCGATAAACTCGCGTTAACGGAAGCAAAAAAAAATAGAAAAAAAGAGCAGATAAACTTAATATGAACAAATCGTAGACAAATATTCCGATCCGAATGACGATAACCGGCGGTTTCACTTTCGAACAAATCGCTTACATAAGTCGTGGTGAAAAAATAACCCGTTTATAGAGAGAACAATTCAAGTTTGACTTTGCAGAAGGATTACGAATGCTAGAGGAAAGGGTTAACGGTGCTTTGTTCGAGACTCGTCACGCCGTGTGGCTAGAAAAAGTCACTTCGTTTCGCCGACTTGAAATGTCGTAACATGTGGCGTATCGATCGACCCTTTTTCTCTTTTTTTTTTTTTTTTTTTTTTTTCTTTATTCGACATGTTCTGCTTTGTGTCTTCCCTGCTTCGTTAAGCATAATCGACTTTTAGCCGCAGTGGTTCGACCGTTGATTACCGCAACGCGATCGAACCTGAAGGAGAGTTTCATTCGCGTCGCTCGTTTGCCCGCGGTGAAACCGTTGTCTTTGTGAAACGTTCTTTCACGATCGTTGTGCAAATCGTCGGTGGTGATTTAGTCGGTGGATTGAGTTACCAGAGTTGTAGCGAATGTTTCGGCATCGATGAAAGAATACCGTAAAATTTCTTATTGTAGAAGAAGAAAGAATCCTTGGAATCCGGGAGAAAAATTCGCAGAGACAGAGAAATTCGCTTCTTTGTTCAGATTGAAGTATGAAATTTTGCGCTGCTGTAGTGAATGTTTTGCAGTGATCTCTGGGATTCACGGTGTCTTCCTTTTCTACGTTTGTCATTGTCTTCACGTCGCGAATTTAGAGCGTTTGCGAAGAAAACGAAAGTATGAAATTTTGCGCTGCCGGGGCGAATATTTCAATGATCTCTGGGGTTCACAGTGTCTTCCTTTTCTACGTTTGTCATTGTCTTCACGTCGCGAATCTAGAGCGTCGGTGAAGAAAACGCCTCGGAGTAAGATAACTAAAATATTCAATTTTCTGGGATTCACAGTGTCTTCCTTTTCTAAGTTTGTCATTGTCTTCACGTCGCGAATCTAGAGCGTCGGCGAAGAAAACGCCTTGAAGTAAGATAACGAAAGTATGAAATTTTTGCGCCACCGCTCAGATTCACAGTCTTCCTTTTCTACGTTTGTCATTGTCTTCGTGTCGCAAATTTAGACCGCTTGCGAAGAAAACGAAAAGTGAGATAACGAAAGTACCAAATTTTCTCTGCCCCAGCGAATATTTTACAATGATTTCTGAGATTCACAGTGTCTTCCTTTTCTACGTTTGTCATTGTCTTCATGTCACGAATTTAGAGCGTCGACGAAGAAAACGCCTCGAAGTAAGATAACCAAAGTACGAAATTTTGCGCTGCCGGAGCGAATATTCAATGATCTCTAAGATTCACAGTGTCTTCCTTTTCTACGTTTATCGTTGCTTTCACGCCGCAAATTTGGAGCGTCGGCGAAGAAAACGAAGAGGGAGATAAATCCACCGCGAGAAAAATCGCCAAAATTTCGCACTCTGAGCAGAAATTTCTCGCGTTCGCGTGAAAACACACATAAAGCACCGCGAAAATATCGCGTCGACCTGGAGATTCCTTCATACTCAACCTACTCTTTTTACAAACAAAAACAATGAAATACTCACAAGAATGAGATCCTGAATAAGGTTCGAAATTCCTCTGTTCGCGATGACAAACAACCTGGTAACTGGTCCAGGAACCGCTTCCGGAGTTTCCTCGGCCTTTCCAGCGACGCCGCCAGAAGAGTTTCCTCCACTTCCGGCCACGAGCTGCAATTACAATCGATCCACCAATTAAACAAAATCACCGTCGAAATTGAACAATTTGTTCACGGGAAGAGTACGAGAGAAGATGAATGATAGACAAGTTGCGAAGATCGTTTTCATTCTCATCGATCGTCGCGTGAATCGTTGTCGTATATTTGAAATGAGGAAGATAGTTGCAGTGTTTGTAGCAGCTCCACGTCCAGCTCCAGCGCTCCCGACACTACGGTGCTTTTACATCCTGAATCCTACTTGCGGCCTACGATCCATCGATCTTGCTGCTACGATCCTTACGTGCGCTCCTTCGGCTCGTGACATTGTTTCCGGTATATGTATATATATATATAGGGTGTCCATACACTTACAACAGCAACATCTTTGTTTGTATTCACTTGTTTCGAAGGATAATAACGATATAAGTGAGTATGGACAACCTACAAGGTGCAACAATACTAAAAATATATGTATATTCACCAGGACCCATAAGAGATAATAAGATTACTGTGATAATTACAGGCAGCATGACGCACGCTCGATCATATACCCACCTTTTGTGATACGGTCGTTTCGTTTCAGACGTTGAAGAAACGTACGTCACGCAGCGTGCTATCAAAATTACTACTAGAAGAATTCGTGTGGTTGACCAAACGACTCAGCTAACTGTGAGAGTTATCGAGAATAAGTTTGTGTCTTCGAGATTTCTTCGAACGAAAATCTCCTTATTTTCATTAACGAAGAGATCTTTTCGAACGAATATCTCTTATTCTTCCTTAAGAAGAGATCTTCGAATTATCGGAAATAAATCTGTTTGCTTGAGATATTTTCGAAGGAAAATCTCGTATCTTTCCTAAAGAAGAGATCTCTTCGGAAGAAAATCTCTTATTCTCTCCAAAGAAGAGATACTCAAGTTACTGAAAATAAATCTACTTCCTCCAGATCCTTTCGAACGAAAATCTCTTCTCTCCCTAAAGAAGAGATCTCTTCGAACGGAAAATCTTTTATTTTCCCTAAAGAAGAAATCTCTTATTTTCCTTACAGAAGAGATCTCTTCGAACGAAAATCTCTTATTTCCCCTAAAGAAGAGATCTTTTCGAACGAAAATCTCTTATTTCCCCTAAAGAAGGGATCTCTTCGAACGAAAATCTCTTACTCTCCCCAAAGAAAAGATCCTTTCGAACGAAAATCTCTTCTCTCCCTAAAGAAGAGATCTCTTCGAACGGAAAATCTTTTATTTTCCCTAAAGAAGAAATCT